TGCTACGTGCGACCCGCTCAGGCTGGGAGGGCCACCGTCCAGTACAACTGTTAACAGGACTCTGACGCTAGGATTGCAGGCAGGTCCACTTCAAGTTACTTTTAAAAAACGAACAAAAAGCCTGATCTCGCTATGTAGTTCAGGCTGGTTGGAACGCGCAATGGTCCTCCTGCCTCAGCCTCCTGAAAGCTGGGACTGTAGGCGTTGTGTTAAGTTCTGCTCTGGTAGGCGGAAGCCACAAGTACCGATGGCTCCGACAGTGCCAGAGAACTGGCTTCGCGGTAAGTAAGCCCGACAACGAGCTTGCTGGTCTTCAGGAGCCAGCTCCCACATCTGTCATCTGCGGTCCAGCAAGCGCCTTCCCAGACCCGCGGAGTTCGCTTCCATTAGCAGCCTCCACGTTTACTGAACACAGCTACCACGTGAGACAAACAGGAACGCTAACGAGGTTGGCACCCTCAGTCCCAGCTACGGAAAAGGGACACATTTGTAACACCCTGGTTAAGACGCCCAGGAGCCTCTGACACTGCGTGGCGCAGGAAGCTGTAAGCAGAGTTGCGCACGCGGAGCACCGCCCACCAAGGAAGTCACGTGGGTGGGCGGGGCCAAGCGGAGAGGAAGCGCGAGGCGAGCGGAAGGGAGAGGGCAGCCCCTCCCCGGAAGTCCCGCCTTCCTCCAGAGCCTGTGCCGGAAGTGGCGCCGGTTGTCGCGGGTGTGATGGCTTCAAGGTTACTTCGCGGAGCTGGAGCGCTGGCCGCGCAGGCCCTGAGGGCCCGCGGCCCTCCTGGGCTGGCTGCCGTCCGCTCTATGGCTTCTGGAGGTACTTCCCGTCGGGCGCGCCGAAGTCCGGAGATCTTTTGTCTCCCGCTCCGGGGTGGTGGGTGCGGGGACACCAAAGCGGGGCGGCTGTGCAGCTCCGTGGGGACACTGACCACCTCAGGGCCCCGTGCACCCCAGGCTCTGTGGTATCTACTTGTGATTTCGGGCATCGCTGCCGCTGCCCACCAAACTGACGCTGGTGCGAAAGTGTCCCCGGTAGCGGCAGTGCGGTGACCTTCCTCAAGGGGTTCAGGAAGCTGCAGCG